GGAGTCCATTGTAAACTGCCAGCTCATGAGGTACCTTGAGGATCACCAGCTGATTAGTGACCGCCAATACGGTTTTCGACGTGGTCGGTCAGCTGGTGATCTTCTGGTCTACCTAACTCACAGATGGGCGGAGGCAGTAGAGTCCAAGGGGGAGGCATTGGCCGTTAGTTTGGACATTGCGAAGGCCTTCGATCGGGTTTGGCACAAAGCGCTTCTTTCGAAGCTCCCTTCCTATGGGCTTCCCGAGAAATTGTGCGATTGGATCACCAGCTTTCTTGCAGATCGGAGCATCAAGGTCGTTGTTGTCGGTGCAAGCTCCGATTGCAAGCCTATTAATGCTGGTGTTCCACAGGGCTGCGTGCTATCGCCAACGCTGTTTCTTCTGCATATCAATGATATGTTGCAAACCCGTAACATTCATTGCTATGACAGCACTGGTGATGCTCTTTACACCGGTCGAGCCAATATTTCTCGGGAAAACGTCTCCGAGTGCCGGAACAAACTTGTGTCTGAAGTCGAGCCTTTGCTGAACAGAGTCTCGGATTGGGGGCGACTAAATCTAGTCAAGTTTAACCCCCAGAAGACACAAGTTGCGCGTTAACCGCTAAAAAGAACCCCTTTGTCGTATCCCCTCAGTTTCAAGGCACCCTCCTTGTTTCCTCAGCCAGTATCGGAATCCTCGGCGTCGACATATCGAGTGACGTGCAGTTTCGTGGTCACTTGGAAGGGAAGGTCAAATTGGCCTCTAAAAAGCTTGGCGTGCTCAGCAGAACGGGATAGTATTTCATGCCGGCACACCGCCTGCAACTTTACAAGGTGCAGGTTCGCCCGCACATGGAATACTGTTCCCATCTCTGGGCTGGGGCTCCCCAGTACCAGCTCCTTCCACTTGACCGCATCCAGCGCAGAGCGGCTCGAATCGTCGAAGGCCGAGTGCTTTCCGATCGGCTCGATTCACTGGCATTGCGAAGAGATGTTGCATCCCTTTGCATTTTCTTTCGCATATACAATTGTTCGGATTAATCCCAGCCGCCAAATTTCGTGAACGCACTACGCGGCAAACGTCCCGATACCATCCACACCATCTGGATGCTTGGCGGTCCACCACTGTACGTATCAAAAGGAGTTTTCTTCCACGTACAACCTCTCTGTGGAATAGTTTACCACCGGCGACTTTTCCGGACCGATACGACCTGGGGACCTTCAAGAAAAGAGCTTACTCCTTTCTAAAGGGCCGGCAACGTACCTGCAATTCCCCTGGTGTTGCTGTTGATCATGGGCGGCGGTAATCACTTAACATCAGGTGAGTCGCGTGCTCGTGACACAGGAAACACGTGAAAACAGGGAACGTGTTTATATTATATATTATATTAATTAAGAAGATTGTTCTTCCGCCGAGGTCGGAAATCTTCCTCGGAACCCTGGGCAAGCTCACCGTTGTGTACTTGTGGAAAGGGCAAACAATGACCTTCAATGGAAAGTAGCTCGAACCTTGGTCAGAACCACTGACATATCAGGAGTACGTGTGCTGAACCTTTGTGACCAGGAACAGATTATAGAAAAAGGTACACTGGTTGGTACTTGTGAGGAAGTGGATTGGTTACGTCGGTGCCAATATCTATCGAGTGAGACCCCCAGCAAGGATTCACAAACGAGAGTGACGACGCTTTTGGAAGACTGTCGCAGCGTTCTCTCCCCGAACGAAATGGTCAAGGTGAAGAAGTTGTTACTCAAGTACGCCGGTGTATTGTCATCAAACGATGCTGACATAGGAAAGACTGGCTTAGTTCAACACAAAATAAACACAGGAGAAGAATTGCCTATCCGTCAGCGGCCAAAAAGATTGCCGGTAGCACGTACAAAGGAAGTGAAAACCATAATTGAGGGAATGGTGAAGGATGGTGTTATTGAACCTTCATCTAGTCCATGGTGTTCACCCGTGGTACTGGTAAAGAAGAAGGACGGCAGCATGCGGTTCTGTGTTGACTACCGCCGTCTGAACGACGTTACAAAGAAGGACAGCTATCCCTTGCCAAGAATTGATGACACGGTGGACATGCTTACAGGAGTAAAGTCGTTTAGCACGCTCGATCTATAAAGTGGCTACTGGCAAGTTGAAATTGACCCTAAGAATAAGAAGAAAACTGCGTTCTCGACGGGAAAGGATCTGTGGCAATTTAAAGTAATGCCTTTGGATTGTGCAATGCTCCAGCAATGTTTGAAAGGCTGATGGAGCTTGTCCTTACCGGGCTAATTGGCGATGCCTGTCTGGTCTACTGGGATGACATTACCATCGTGGGCCGTACGTTTGAGGAACACCTTCAAAACCTGGAACGCGTGCTCATGAAGATTCAGAGTACCAACCTCAAGTTGAGTCCAAAGAAATGTTCACTATTCAAACGGCAAGTCAACTTTTTGGGGTATGTAGTGTCGGAAAAAGGTATCCGCACGGATCCGGAGAAAATCGCCGCTGTCAAAAATTGGCCTGTTCTAAAAGACAAGACGCAGGTTAGAGCATTTTTGGGTTTGTGCTCCTATTATCGGCGATTTGTGAAGAACTTTGCAGATATAGCCAAACCTCTGCACAAGCTAACCGAGGTGAAGCGACATTTCTGCTGGGGTGAAAGTTGCAATATCGCATTCCAGGAGCTCAAGGACCGTCTGTGCCAAACACCTATTTTGGGATACCCTGATGCAAGCAAAGAATTTATAGTTGACACAGACGCAAGTGATATAGGACTTAGCGGTGTGTTGTCTCAACGGAATGGTGACCAAGAGGTCGTGATAGCGTACTTCAGCAAGTCGTTGTCAAAACCGGAAAGGAACTATTGTGTCACAAGACGCGAATTACTAGCTATGGTAAAAACGTTGCAGCATTTTAGCTAATATCTTCTGGGGCGGAAATTTCACTTACGAACTGACCATGCTGAACTAAAATGGCTATTTCAGTTTAAAAATCCAGAAGGACAAGTTGCGAGGTGGATTGAACTACTGCAGGAATGCGACTTTGAGATCGAACATCGCAGCAGGAAATCTCATGGCAACGCAGATGCATTGTCAAGAAGACCTTGTCCTGAAGATTGCAAACATTGTACTAGGCAAGGGAGTAAAGAAGTGGTATCCGTGAGGATGCTCAGAACAGACCACCTCAGCAACGAGTGGAAGGACAGCTTACGACATGCACAGCAGGAAGATCCGGACATCAAGCCGATTCTGCAATGGATGAAAGCCAGTGCTCCCAAGCCCAAGTGGAGCGACGTCTCAGCGATGAGTTCACTAAAAGCTATTGGGCCCAGTGGCACAGCTTGCTGCTTCAGGATGGAGTTCTGTGCCGTAAATGGGAAAATGTTCGGGGAGACAGCTGTCATTTTCAAATGGTTGTCCCTAAAGCTAAATTACCGGATGTTCTACAGCTGTACCATAATGATTGTTCAGGAGGCCATCTGGGAGTTAAAAGAACTCTACTGAAGATCCGAGAACGGTTTTACTGGGTCCACCGTCGAAACGACGTGGAGGACTGGTGTCGCAAATGTACAAGTTGTGCGGCTGTAAAGGGACCTCAGACTCGTAGTAGAGGTGCATTGAAGTTGTACAATGTTGGTGCACCATGGGAGAGAATAGCCATTGACGTGGCGGGGCCGTTTCCGGAGAGTGAAAACGGTAACAAGTATTTCATGGTTGTGATGGATTACTTCACTGTAGTCCGTTCGCGTTAAGAAAATAATGAGTCATCGTTGTCCGCCGGCCTGGCCACGCCCCCCAGCCAATTAAAATGCAAGAAATTAGAAAGTCGAGTTCACAGTGACCAGTTGAAGTCAGGCCTTCGAACAAAACGGTTGTGTATTTTGTGTGTTACTCGTTCAACATTAAATTTTGAAAATGAATACCTCACCTATTCGAAAGAATAAAAGTGGATCAATAATCCATAGCGGAGAGAGACGCGTAATTTACAATGTTTATAAGTACTTTAAACTGTGATTTAAATGCGACTTATGAGAGAACAAAAGGATACTAACACATTAAAATCACCCGTGAAAGAAAGAGCTCGACTATCGACGCTCGATAAATTAAATGAACTAGACAAATGTGCAATAAGGAGAAAAGTTCACTTAAGAGCCGCGTGCTCAAAGTTAAAGCGTGTATTGCACATTGGCAGCGATAGAGGATTCGTGGAAGATGGTCTACTAGTATTTGAATCTATCCTCATCATCTCCTGTCAAGTCGTTGATTGAAGCACATACGCTCCGCAAATTTTAATTGTGTAAAGTGCAAATACTGTGATTCTGTGCTCTAAAATAAACTTATTCTGCAGTGAAAGTGCCTAAGACTCCACATTAGTGTTTTTCAATATCGAAACTAACTGTGAACCGTGTAAAAACGGTATCTAAAACTAAAAATTCTTTTCGACAAATAATTGAATATTTTCTACCCACGAATACAAAAGTTATATTTACGTCATATTAAAATCTGTTGACACTGTTTATATAATAGACATCCGCTGTCGCTGTCAACTTCAAATCACTTCATTCATAAATGTTGCCGTAATATAAGAGTTGACATTCTACCAATAAAAATAAAATAATTCTACCAAATTACATCTTTGGAGTTCTCGTAAGTTTTCATATATTTGTAACCAACAACGTACAACTGAACTCGACAGCTGGCAGCCGACAGAACTAATAAACCACAGTGATTAAGATCGCCTCCACTGAAGTCTTCTGTCTTGCGCTCGTTATTAGCATAACAGCTGTTGCTGCAAACAATAATCGCTATATAAGGCATTAGGGTATTAATTCCTAAAAAATATAATAAAATGTCACTCGTGCAACGTACTCCGCCACCTGTGTCCGAGAGTGGATTGCTACAAGTACAATCCGAGACCGATATGGTGAGTGCCATGCGTTACGAGGATGAAATTGAAACCTCCAACGTTTCTACACGCCAACGTCTTGATGGATCACCATTAGACGAATATTCTAGGCTGAAAAGAGATACAACAGATGTTTAAGAACTGGGCAGCTGAACAAGACAAATTTTCGAAATTGATTACCAAAATTTCCGATTTGAAACAGCAAAATAGCGTTATACAAGAGACTAATTTGGAGATACGTAGATTTATGACATTTGCCTCCTCAGAATATGAAAAAGAACGTTCCGAGTACACTGAAAATTTAATGAAAATAGAAAGAAAAGTACACGATCTACAGGTTAAATCCCGCACGGCATCAATAGAATTCAGAAATATCCCTATGCAAGAAAGAGAGACGACCGATGACCTGCTTTCCATAGTAAGCGGCGTATGTAATGCTCTGCATATTCCCATCAAACACGATGAAGTGCGGGATGTTTACCGTCTACCGGGTAAACCTGGAACGAATAAAACTATCGTGGCCGAATTTGTAACAGTGTTCGACAAAAACAATATTTTTTCAGCTGCTAGAAACTTCAATAAAAAGAAGCCGAGCGAAGAAAAACTTAACTCAGAATCCATTGGGTTATCTGGTAAGCGCGTACCAATATATATCTCAGAATATTTACCTCCAAGCTCCAAAGTCCTATTTCGTAAAGCTAGAATGTACGCCAAAGACAATAAATACCAATATTGCTGGACGACTAATGGCCAGGTTTTTATCTGAAAATTTACTGGTGAAAGGTCTATTAGGATTGATTCTGATAATTTTTTCTCTCTAAGCCAACTGAAACGGAGAATGCAGATCCCAATCCAGAAATGTCATTCCAGAGCGATTTGGAGAAATTTAGTCAGCAGAATTAAATTAGGCATACATTAATTTAGAATATGCCTTTCAAAACATATTCTGTCACTAATTTTTACAGTAAATTTAATAGTATGTATAGGAAATCTTGTAAGTTAATTTTAAGAACAATTTATGATACTGTAGATACGCTTCACTACTATATTCACACTTACCTGGACATCCTCACTTTACTCACTCCAAATATCATCGTGCAAAAACTATTCAAACACATAAACTCAATTATAACCTCACTCATACTCATAAAAATCAAATCAATAGCTTGTTTACTTGCATTCCATAATAATATAAACCAAGTACGTATAACAATAATAAGTGCCAATCTATCAACCTGTTCGCAGTAATTGATGCAAATGAAAATATCTCAACAGATTTAGACAACATAGATGTAGCATTGACTTATGAGTGCGACACTGAAACATGTAAGTCGCTCATTAAAAATAAGTCTATTTCCCTGAAAATATTCTATCAAAATATTAGCAGCGTATACAAAAACTCTGATAGTTTACTAGTCCAACTGTCTCGTTTTACGTTTGAATGTGACATCATTATCTTAACTGAATGCTGGCTAAGTGCCCGTAAAGAAATCCCTAAATTTGAAAATTACAATATGTACTATACGCACAAATGTCTCAATCAAAACGACGGTATAGTGATATATGTTAAAACAGGTATTAAATGTACAATAAAAGAAACAGAGCCATTAGGTGCTAATTTCATATCTATTAAAATTATTGACCCCGATATTTTCGTTTTAGCTTTTTACAGATCTCCGTCGACTCAATGTATTGACAGTTTTTTGAATTCCATAGAAAATATAGTTGGCCCACTGGACTCAACTAAAAACTTGATTCTAATTGGTGATATTAATATTGATATTAAAGTTAATAACAACGATCGAAGAAGTGAAGTGGACTTAAGCGGGCTACATACGACACGATATCGGTGGCGATCTAGGGTGGAGTAGTGGGGATGCCTCCTAGATTGCCTCTAAATCGTGTCGTATGTAGGGCCATCCTAAGTCGTGGCCGATATCGCCTCCTTAATCGGCTGGCAGGAGCAAAAATGCTTCCTAGATCAGCCGATGCTTCCTAGATCGGGGCACCGCCCCCTCCTTACTGCGTGTGTGTAGGCGCATCGGCCCGATTTCTTTAGGCAGTCGCTGCCGGCAACCCTCGCGGAAGGAAGTTAACAAAACAGTGATACTGAATGACCTTTTTTTATATAACAAAATTTTTACATTTTAATCATATAAACGGAGTAGAAGCCTATGGCACTGATATTTTACAAAAAACCAAAAAAAAAAGTGAATAAAATATATAAATTAATTGAAATTTTATCGAAATTCAAATCATATCCACCCTAGCCTGTGACCCTGCGAAGTGACATGGCCAAGAATGCCTACTAAACTAATTTTTTTATTGCCGTTCGTAAAGTAGAGTGTATGATGTAAGTAAGGAGAAGATAAAGCCTCTCCTCAACAACTAACTCCTATTCCAACGCTATCAACACAAGACCGCACTCATATCTCTTACAACTCCACAAGACCACACTTCGATCTCTTACGTGCCTTCATCCTCTTATCAACAACTAACTTCTACTCCTTCACCATCTCCACATCAACAAACAAGTTATATAAAAGGGAGTATGTCCGAAATTAAAGGTTTCTTTATGTTTAAAAAAAGATATAAGCTATTTTATTTTCTGATAGTTTTACTCCATAAATAAAGATTACATTAAAAAAAAAAAGTATACATATTATTATACAAAAGTATTTTATTTCCTTGTTTGTTGTGTGTATACATAACCAGATTTTGACCAAAGCAGAAATGAACAAAGAGAAGAAATAACTAAATAGCATAGGTAGGAGAAATTGACGTTTTTATATAAGTGGCGAAATCATTTCTAGAAGGTTATAAAAACTGTCTTCATCCATCCGGAGAAAATTAATCACGTCCTTGGATTACAGGCCATTTAGTACGTTTATGTGGCTTAATTTTTATTTTTTTTGGAGCCATTTTTTCACCCAGCAACTCCTCTTTTTCTATTTTCGAATAAATTTACCGAGAGGGCTAATGCCAAACCAATACATTGGTGTTTTAAGAGAGTTGAAGCTATTTTGAAGAACTCTACCGCATATGTGTTCGGCTCCAAGTCCGAACGCGTACTGCTAGGCAGGCCCGTGTGTAGGGTCTGCCCCGATAAAAGCCCCGATTTCTTTCCACCCTAGATCGCCACCGATATCGTCTCGTGTGTAGCCCGTTTTAAACCTAACAGCGGAGCTAGGTTTGCTTCCAGGTCACATTTATCCTACTACGTTACACAGCTGTCTAGATCATGTCATGCTGAAAACTAGTTTGGCAGCATCAGTATTTGTGATTAATAGTACTATAACAGACTATTCTTCAATCCTACTCAGCATTTGCCCTGACCAGCAAAGAACAAAAGAACCAAAGCTTTTTACTAGAATCAACTATGATGCTTGTTTAAAATATTTAGGACTTTTCATTTATAAACACTTCTGATGCAAATGAGGCCGCAGTAACTCTTGTAGAAAAGTTGGCTAATGCAATTTCACTTCACTCTGAATCCCATCGTGTCCCTAATAAACAAAGAACGCTAAAACCATGGCTAACTCTTGGTCTTTTACGTTGTATTCGACACAGAGACAAACTCCATCGTAAATTTAAAAAAAAAATCCTGAAAATAAAATTCTTGAAATCACTTATAAGCGTTACCGAAATTATTGTAACTCCTTGTTGAGAAATCTTGAACGAAACCATGAAAAGTCACTATTACGTAATGCGAAAACTAACAAATATACCTGGAATGTAATTAAAACTATAATAAATTACACAAAACAAAAGACGAGTGCTGATAGCCTTCTGAGTTCTAATGAAAATACTGTTCGTGATGTGTGTGAAACATAAATAAATACTTCTCTAATATTGGTAAAAATATATCTGACGCTGCAAATATTTCAAATCAAAATAGCTCTTCATATAATTTCCCAATTCCATCAGTTCCTAACTCTTTTGTACTACTTCCACCAGATGAGGGAGAGGTAGAATCGATTATTAGAAGCTTAAAAATTAACTCTGCTACTGGATAGTACTCTATACCCGTGCAACTTCTCAAATTATCAGTACATCTGTTAGTTCCACCTTTGACAAAACTTATTGAGCTCTGTTATGCACAAGGAATCTTTCCAAAAGTTTAAAAGAAATCGCTGATCACTCCTGTTCATAAGGATGGATCCCGAGACGAAATGTCCAATTACAGGCCTATTTCCGTACTTTCGTCTATCTCTAAAATCTTAGAAAAATCATTAAATTATAGACTTATAAAATTTTTAGAACATAATAAAGTTATATCTTCTTCACAATTTGGATTTAGGTCGGGGAAGTCCACTGAAGACGCGGTAATTCAATTGACAGAATTTGTAACATCAAAGGTTGATGCTAAACAAAAATGTTTGGGGATTTTTCGACCTAGCCAAGGCATTTGACACGGTCTCGATTCCTATCCTTGTGAGCAAGTTAAAACGCGTTGGTATACGTGGCAATGCACTTATGATTTTTAAGGACTTCCTATGTGACCGTAAACAACGGGTTAAAGTGAAGAATATGTCAGCCCCGAGGAACCGATTGTATGTGGCGTTTCACAGGGAAGTATTCTAGGACCTAGTCTCTTCCTTATCTATGTAAACGATTTATGTCAGCAACCTCTAGTAAATGGCAAAATATTTACCTATGCTGATGATACAGCTTTAGTCTTCCATGGTAAGACTTGGGATCAGGCTCGACATAACGCTCAGCTGGGATTTCATAGTTTTGCAGTTTAAAAATCCAGAAGGACAAGTTGCGACGTGGATTGAACTACTGCAGGAATACGACTTTGAGATCGAACATCGCAGCGGGAAATCTCATGGCAACGCAGATGCATTGTCAAGAAGACCTTGTCCTGAAGGTTGCAAACGTTGTACTAGGCAAGAGAGTAAGGAAGTGGTATCCGTGAGGATGCTCAGGGCAGACCACCTCAGCAACGAGTGGAAGGACAGCTTACGACATGCACAGCAGAAAGATCCGGACATCAAGCCGATTCTGCAATGGATGAAAGCCAGTGCTCCCAAGCCCAAGTGGAGCGACGTCTCAACGATGAGTTCACTTTTTTTTTTTATAGAAGAGGGGGGCAAACGAGCATGTGGCTCACCTGATGTTAAGTAACTACCGCCGCCCATGATCAATTGCAACACCAGGGGAATTGCAGATGCGTTGCCGGCCCTTTAGAAAGGAGTAAGCTCTTTTCTTGAAGGTCCCCAGGTCGTATCGGTCCGGAAAAATCGCCGGTGGTAAATTATTCCACAGAGAGGTTGTACGCGGAATAAAACTCCTTTTGAAACGTACAGTGGTGGACCGCCAAGCATCCAGATGGTGTGGATGGTATCGGGACGTTTGCCGCGTAGTGCGTTCACGAAATTTGGCGGCTGGGATTAATCCGAACAATTCCTCAGAGCACTCTCCATGGTATATGCGAAAGAAAATACAAAGGGATGCAACATCTCTTCGCAGTGCCAGAGAATCGAGCCGATCGGAAAGCACTCGATCGTCGACGATTCGGGCCGCTCTGCGCTGGATGCGGTCAAGTGGAAGGAGCTGGTACTGGGGAGCCCCAGCCCAGAGATGGGAACAGTATTCCATGTGCGGCCGAACCTGCGCCTTGTAAAGTTGCAGGCGGTGTGCCGGCATGAAATACTGTCCCGCTCTGCTGAGCACGCCAAGCTTTTTAGAGGCCAATTTGGCCTTCCCTTCCAAGTGACCACGAAACTGCACGTCACTCGATATGTCGACGCCGAGGATTCC